GTATCCTCAGCAGCAGAGGGACTCTTGGTCTTCCTTTCCTGGGGCGTCCTCATGTGAGACAGTTTCATCGCAGTGCTTGATAGTTTTGCGACTGCACTCAGACACATTCAACGTTTTAGCAATTTTCTGACTGACTGACCTTCAGTTAGTAATGATGGGCTGTTGTTTCTCTTTATTTAGCTGTTTGGTTCTTGCTATAATATGAATTCTAACAGTTGTCAAACGAGGCTGTCAGCTGATGGTCCCAACGCCATTAACACATAACTCCATATATCTTCATATATTTGATGTCTTCAGTTTGTATCTACACTGTAGATAACAAGTAGTAACAATAAAACCATTAGATGAGGTGAATGCAAACTGGTGGTGTACTTTAATCACTGAGAGGCAGCAGGTCGTGGACGTGCGTATGCAAACCTGCATGTTGCACCAGTTCAGAACACTAACATGGGGACAGTGAATACTGTCACGCTGTTTCTGTGAACTGAAAGCTCTTTGTGTTTTATTCATTTCAGATGGCTCGATGTGAGTGTGTCCAACCTCACATGTACCAGGTACTGGGTGGTGTACCTGCAGGTCATCCAGGAGGCGGTGTGGCCTGGTGGAGTTTTGCCAACTGCCCCGGTGTTTGAACGCAGCCAGCAGCAAAAGGATGACACCAAACAACAAGCTTTACGCTGTCTGATGAGACTCTTACCAGGTACGTCTCAGGCTTGTTATGATCCTTGAATCGGCGCCATTCCTGTTACAGTGTTTGCTCTTATTCAGTCAGTTTGAGTTGTTTTTACATCTCAATCTTTTTGTCTAGATCTGGTCTCAGATGTGTTGGGCTCAGAGAAGTACCGACTCAGCTGGCAGACTGCTCTGGACTCTTTCCAGGACCCCCACATCAACAGGTCAGTATACCCACCTTGTGCCCTTTAGGTGGCCTGTCTGCTGTCAGACGCACCTCTGCTTCTCAGAAATGAGTCATCAGAAAATTATACAAAATATGGTTCAACAGTTCTTCCTGTTGTCATGCTCAGTTTTTATTTGATTTCCTTGATAAACAAAATGATCTAGTATCTGTTTTCTGTGGGACGCCATATGAACTAATGGTAGAATCCGCACAACCTGTAACAGCTCCGTTTAGTTTTTGGTCTATTTGTTTGCATTCGAGCGTCCACAGTTTTCAAGATATAACTTCTGTCTGAACGTAGATCCAGTAACAGCTCGAGGTGATTTAGACTTTAGAGTGGAGTAAAAGAGAGTTTGCCCCCGTTCCTGATTTTAGATTTCCACAGCGCTGTGAAATGTGCACTCCAGTTATCACAGTTGCGTGATTGCAGTTGTTGAGTGACCCAACCAGGGAATCACTCCACAGCTTCACAGCATTATGCTCGGCCTTGGAGGGCATGGTCAAGTGTTTGACCTTCACTCTTACTCCACAAGGTTAAAGTTGATATAGAAAAATAATTTCAAGTAAACATATCCAGTATAAAATATCATGAGAGGTTGTGGAGAGATCAGTACAAAACTACAATACCTTTTTTTGTGCCGTACGACGTCTCAATGTTGCCATAAAGTTTTGTCAAATCACACTCTGCATATCTTAAAATCACAAGTTTTTACTGCGTGTAGAAGCCAAAGACTTTAGTTTTGTTTCATTCTGGTTGATCGTCAGCATGTTGTGATAAAGACTTCATGAGTTTTAGTATAGCCCCGCCCTTCAGGACCAATTCCAGTTTCCAACAATGGCGGCAGCTACTTAGTCTTAATATCACTCTTATTGATCTTTCTGGGCCACAAAATAAACTTT